CCCATGCATCCTTAACTACTTCACATGTATTCACTAATCTGAAAATATTCTTGTAAATTCCATTGAATATAACATTCAAGGCTTTAGAATTTCCAAGATAAATTTCATCTTCTTATTTAGACAAATCTTCCCCTGTTTTAACTCAGAAGTAAGTTCTCCATTTTCTCCCAATTTGACAGGGTGTTTCCATCTTTTTAAAATAGCTTTCCAAGCCCTGCTGTCCAAAGAGTTTAAAAAGGCAACCATACGTGGTTTCCAGTAGTCATAAATACTTTCATCCAAAATGGGTGGTCTATTCACAAATCCTTCTTCCTTGTCCATAGTACCAGAAAGTATCTTCCCTAGATCTCACCCAGATAAAGAGCAAGATGTCTGCTCTGATACCAATTGAAATTCTGGTATCAGATATGTGATGTCGAATGAGATGTCACGACACAAATATCTGTTTACAAGTAAAGAGCGGTAAAATCAAAAGCAGTAAAAATATAAGAGATTGTTCACCCAGTTCAGTGTAGAATAACACCTACTCTGGAGGCTACCAAGTCAGGGACAAGTCCACTAAATAATATCAATTCATAGACCCTCAGTAAACAACCAGTTTACGATCTAATCACTTAATCACTACCCGTGTTATACTTCTACCTAAGACTCACATAGGTATGAGGCCCTCCTCAAATTAGGGATGTCAATGGGGCGGGGCGGGGCCGGGGGGACACTTCCCCATCTTTTTCCCCGCCATCAAATTCATTCCCCGTCCCCGTCCCCGATCTCCGTCACGGGGGAATTTCTATCCCCATCCCCGTTCCCTGCGGATCCCCGTTCCCCGCGGGGATCCCCATAGATCCTACATTTATTCATTAATATTTTATTTTTTTAAAATGTTTATATTTTCTATAAAAATAAAAAGCACAAAGAATTCACATATTTATTATGTTATTAAAAAATACTAGTATTTGACATTTAGGGTCTAATATTTACATTTCTCTCTCTTAATAAATACATGAATATTTATTTATTTATTTTTATAAATAAACATAAAGGAAATGACTAAAAAACCTAATCTAAAATATATATATTAAATTAACTATATTAAAATAATAGGCGGGGCGGGGTCCCCGCGGGGCGGGGGGTGTATTCCCTGTCCCCGTCCCCGAAATGCTCTCGGGGGAATTTTTCTCCCCATCCCCGCTCCCACGGGGGAAAATTCCCCATCTTTGGGGCCCCGAACGGGGCGTTCCCCGCGGGGATCCCCATTAACAGGTCCAAACTGACATCCCTACCTCAAATCCCTTCAATCACTTACAGTGAAGAAACAACAAAATTAACAAGTTTAAAAACTCCAATCATTCAATGCTTAAAAGCTTATGAATGATACACAATTAACAACTCAAATAACAACACAAGTATTCAATCAATACTAAAGTGTTTGACAATTAAAAGAATTAGAATTTTTAAAATAGAAAGAAAGTATTCTTCTTCAAAAGGTTGCAGTAGTTTGAATAAGGAAGCAAATCCTTATATATGTGCAGTTGTGGGCTTGGGCTTTAAAACCAAATATTTAATTCTTTTGCATATTTCCATAAAAATAGGTCAAGATAAAATCCATGCATTTTGAAAAATATTCCTCCATATTTTTCGCTGCCTGTGAGTTACAAATCTTGACTTATGGAGCGCTGGAAAACAGGAAATAGAAAAATAAATATTGTTGTTGGCTGAGATCAGTTCAGGAGGCAGATGTCAAAACATCTGCTTTGACATCATTCAAAACGGTTTGCTACAAATATCAAGATATTTAGCAAAACATTAACAACTCATTGTTTTACCAAAATTGCTGCCTACAAACACTTACAAGATTGATGAAATTGAAAGCAAGTGATCTTAAAAATAACAAATGTACTATTTTCACGATGTAGTAATAATGAGAATTTCCCAAGATATCGATCTCGAGGACTGCGTAAGACTACCTAGTTGAATATGTGGTTTAATTAAACAGAAATAATATGGTGATTTTAGATTAGGGATTTAACTTTAACAATATATTAATGCGTAAGACTACCTAGTTGAATATGTGGTTCAATTAAACAAAAATAATATGGTGATTTTAGATTAGAGATTTAACTGTAGCAATATATTAATGAGGAGAAAATAAACTGTGACTTTTTATAATAAGGAGAAACATGCCAGGGGCAGTGTATAATTTACCATCTGATGACTTTCACTCTTGATCTTTTTAACAAGTTCATTAACCTCAATTATCAATTCTTAAGATTATTCTTCGTGAAAAAACTTTATCTTCTCCCCTAATTTCAATGTCCATTCAAATTAGTGAAGAAATCAAGCATTTGGTTATTAAGAAATTATCTGGTTATTATATGATTGCCCTAGTCCTAGGTGCAATCGTCTGTAATATAATTATTTCAGAAAATTTTACCACAATTGTCCAGTTCTATTGTGTTAAGAAAAGTAAATCCTATTGGTCTGATAGAACAAAACGATATTATAATCTGAAATAATCAAATTGATGAAAAGTAACTAATATGTTGATAAAACAAAGAGATCAATATCATAGTGATGCCAAACCAGGGAGATCCCAATGGGGTTTAACATCTCATAGAATTCAAAAGAACTACAACGATAATAATAGAGTTAAACATTACAAAAAGTTGGAGTTGTAGATATTCAATTGCTTCCGTGCCTGAAAGATTCTTCGTCTACAACTATAAATGATAAATAAAAATATTAGATATTTTGAAATTTTCGGTACAAAAAATACCATATATATATTGAAATTTCCGATACAAAAATACGGAATATTTTGAAATTTCAGAATACCGGAAATTTCACAAATCTACCGTAAATTCTCACTTGTTCGCGAAATTTCCGATATCGCCTACGAAATTTTTGATATCGCCCAAAAAATTGAAAAATCCAGTTGATAACGTGAATTTAAAATTCGTGCTGAATAATTTGACTCCGAGTAATTTGATTTTTTCATACCATTTGAAAAGTGTCATATGATGTATAATGTGAGGATGGTTAATTACTCTCTTAAATGAGTGATGAGAGCGGCTTGTTATTGGGCAATAGTAATGAAGCGGGCCTAAGCCCATGTATCATTTGGGTTGGATTGAAGGAGAAAAATGATTTGATGAATGCGTGCGGTGTACGCGTCGACAGTTTCTTTCTTCCATTTCAGCGTTTGTAATCGTAATTGTAAGTGCAGAAGCAGAAGATAGTACCAATTCACCACCCAAACCCTACTAAACTAGGCGTCAAGATGCCGAAAAAGATGGGTGTCAATTCTAAGGCCGAGGTCGCAAGGGCTCGCAAAAGCGCCGTTGAAACGGAGAAAAAGGATCGGGAGACTCGAGAGAAGGAGGAGCAATACTGGCGAGAGGCTGAGAGTTCAAAGCCACGCGCCGCCAAGAAGAGAGAAGAAGAGGCTGATAAGAAGGCCGAGGCGGCGGCCAAGCGAGCGGAGGTGCGTCGATTGGCGGAACTGGAGGAGAAAGAGCTAGAGAAGATGATTAAAAAACCGGACAAGAAGGCAAGCAGAGTGACGATCCCAGTTCCGAAGGTGACGGAGGCGGAGCTGAGGAAGCGGCGCGAGGAGGAGCAGGCTCTGGCGCAGAAGAAGGCGGCGGAAGCGAATAAGCGCTCGGCCGCGGAGGAAGAGTACGAGAGAGTGGTGCTTGTTTCGAACACGAATCGCGATGATTCGATAATCGAAGCTAGTACTCTTGACGAAGCCATCGCTCAGATGAGCATCGATAACAACTTACCCCTGGACAGGCATCCCGAGAAACGCCTCAAGGCTTCCTTCAAGGTATCATCATTTATCTCTCATTCTTCATTCTTTAACTCCTTAATGGAACCCTAATTTTGATTTCGTTGATTTATCAGAACTTCTTAATGGAACCCTAATTTTGATTTCATTGATTTATCAGAACTTCTTAATGGAACCCTAATTTTGATTTCATTGATTTATCAGGCATTTGAAGAGGCAGAACTTCCGAAATTGAAGCAAGAGAAACCAGGACTTACTTACACACAATACAAGGATATGATTTGGAAGCTTTGGAAGAAATCTCCTGATAATCCTCTTAATCAAGTCAGTCACCACCCTCACAAACTCAATTATTTATTTGTGTTTGCATCTTATAAATTTGTTTTCTCTTAATTGACAGAATGTTGATTGATTGAATGAATGAAATGATCTACCGCGGCAGGCCTGTAACTGACAGCTTTCATTCGCCAGTTGGGTAGCATTTCCATCTCAAATTCATGGTTAAGTTGTCAATAATTCATTATAGGCTTCTTTGTTACCTTTCTTTTTGGCATCCATCTGTAAGCCGTTTATGAGTTTGATTTCTGTATATTTACAAACATTGTTGTCATGGGATTTCATTTTCATGCTGCTCCTGCTCCAACAAATAAGCTTTGAGGTTTTGTATGTACTCTTTCTTTTATCAACTGCTCCCAAATCTTATATACATTCAATATTCTTTTGAGTGTAGATTTGTACACTTGTTTGTTTAACCCACTTTTCTTTTGATGAATACAACCATCAACTACTGAGGAAATATAATTGAAGTTACTAAAGGAAATTAGCAGGTGGTATGCACTGCAGAGTGTGAGTTCCCTCAACTTCCACCATTTTTTTCTTGTGCATTTGACTTCTCAAGTTTAGATTGTTTTGTAGCCCCACTGCTGTTTTGATACAAAACAAACTGAGGAATTTGAAGTAAAAGGAGTAGGAAACCAGGTAGAACATTGAGGACTTAGGTGTAGGTGAAATATTTGCTGGGAAGAATGGGGTCTTGTGATGCATAAATTTCATCTTTGATATATGAATTTTGTCTTGGCTTGATTGTTAAGAATAGACAACTGTTAAGAGTGGTGGCATTCAGTATCGGCAAGTATTTTTCTGCCATGGTTCAATTGACGTTGTAGCCATTGGTTTAATGTATATAAAATAATATTGAGTGTTTGAGAGAACAATGAAGGGAGGATATACCTGTGATGTAAGTAATTTTTCAGGGTTTCTTTAATCAGATGATTGTGGTTTTTTGTTTTGATTAATAGGTGCTCCACAAAAGATCATTGTGCACAACAATTTTTAACACTTCGATTGATCTTTTGTATTGGTTTTTTTACCCTTCTTCTGTAGTCCCCTTTGTCACCATTTCAAGCATTCGGATACTTCATTGGTAAAAAATGGCTTTCAAATCATTCTCTGGGTTCAGCTAGTCTTACATTTTTTGACAATTCATTATAAAAATGAAGTCAATCTGTATCGGTTACCTAATGTGCTCCAACATTCAATTAATTTTTTTTCTTTCCATTCCTTTCTGTCAAAGAGTTTAAGGAATCAGTATGGGGCTCAATAAAGTTGGTAAAATACTTCACAATTATATAAATTTTTAGTAAAATTCATAATTGAGGAATTACCGGTTGCAACATTTGGATCATGTTAAACTCAAACTACATCTTTGTTGATACATTAATATTTTCTTACAATTGATACGTTAATATTTTCTTACAATTATCCGCAGCAATTATAACTCCAAACTCTACAATTCAACCTGCTCTTTGTGGACAGTCATTCATCCAAGGTTTATTATATGCTCGTGTCTAGCTACCAATCCCTGCTTAATCTTCCATTGAAATATTAATGTTTTGTAAATAAAATTAATAAATAAACTGGATTCCTTTAAAGAATAAATTCTTTCATTATTCTTTGTTTTAGTCTATAATCTTTGATTTCCGTTCATGTACAATAATGGTTTAAGCTAAAAATATATGATAAAGTTAAAAGGTAAAAATGTGAACATATAAAATTAGTCCAGGAATACCATGCTTGAAATGAAAAGGCCATATCATCCTGATACGGGGGATGTCTAATTTAAGACTGAGAAATAGTTCTTACGAGTTTGCTAGGGTATAAGCGCCCTCAACAAATCAAAAGTATCATCAACCAATTAAATAAATAGTATAATTAAATGTCACTTATTATTTTATTTTATTTTAATTTAAAATTTAAAATAATTCACATTAAAGATATCGATATTCAACTTAAATTCATGGCACCACAATTTTTTATTTATAAAATTTTAATGATATACAAATCTATTATAAATCTATAAAAATGATAGTCCCTGGAAATTACCACAACACCACAGCTGAAAAAATTCATTGTTGGTCTATTGTATTGGGGTAAAATTGGAAACTCCAAAATATCTTGCACCACATTGATTTGAATCTGATGTGGCACTCCCACAATTTTTCACCACATTTTCAATTTTTTTTTCAAATAAATCTCACATATTATACTGTTTTTTAAAATAAAGAACCAATTCAATTTATTGTGCAGGCAGCGTGAGAAACCCAACCATGGGAAATACCAATTCATTATTCCTTGCCATTCATTGTGCCTCTCTTCCTCTTCCCCATGCCAAACCATTATGCCTCTCTTAATCAGAATTCAAATTCAAATGGAACACCAAAAGTTTTTCACTCTTCCTTCAATCCTTTCCCAATGTGTACTTATGTATAACCTCCATTGCTTAACACCTTCCAGTCGTTTTCATTCACGCAAGCCATTGCTACAGACGTCCTTTTCGTTTTCATTCACGCAAGGCTCTCTGCGCTGTTACGAATCGCTGCGTGACGATGGCGCGCCCAATCGAGTATATCAGTAGCATTGACGATTCGAAGGATTTGTGGAAGGTTGCTGTTAGATGTAAGCATCTGTGGTCTGTTACCAGTTCTCAGAATAGATAGCACTTAGAGCTTATTCTGTTTGATTCAAAGGTATAATACAATTTAAACGTTTCTGCTTTGCCATTCTGATTTTGTTGTAACAGTACTGGTATATGATACTGATTTCAAGATGTTTGTATTTTTACAGTTGGATTTGATTCAAGCCATTGTGCCATCTTATTTGGTATCAAAATTCAAAACACAACTTGAACTTGGTTGTTCCTACATAATGCAGAATTTCAAAGTTTCCAGCAATGATTTCTCCTTCAAATCCACTGATCATAAGTTCAAATTGATTTTCTGTGGTTCAACTTCCGTCAAAAAGGTCCAACTTGTTGACATACCTCTGAACCACCTCAAGTTAATTGGAATAAATGCTATTATTGAGGGTAAATACAGAACGAATTTGTTATATGGTGAGTTACATTTTTACTGTTATAATAGAATGCATTGTATTGTGACTTCTCCGTTATACATAACTGTCTGTGGTGAACTTTTGTGCAGATATAATTGGTGGGGTTACTGAAATATCCCAAGCCCAGATAATTCCTGATAACAACAAAAGCAAGGTTGTGTTTTCATTAACTGATCTGAGGTAGGTTTTTCATTTTGTTTGTTAACATTGATGCTGATAAATATAAAAGTCTAACATGTTTATGTTGTTTGTTTTGTAATTCCTGTCAATCAGCAAACATCGTGTGCAATGTACTCTTTGGGGTAAATTAGTTGTGCAACTGAATGAGTATTATACGACTCATAAGGTCGATGGTAGTATTGTTCTCCTACTTATGAATGCAAGGATCAAGGAACCTCAAGGTATGCTATGTGACTATTTCTTATTATATCCAATTATTATATCCAACTTTAAGTGTTGTCATTTATAAATATCTCAATTTTCAGGAAATTATCCTTTAAATGTATCAAATGCTTGGAACGGCACAAAACTGCTCATTAATGATTTGTCTATTGAGGAGGTTAAAAACCTTAAAGAGAAGTAAGTGATTTTATTATGAAGTTATGAATTAGCAACCTATGATTACTAACAGCCTGTTTTCATTCTGATCTATGTACATCAGACTTAAAGATGATCTGTCGATGCTCTCATCCTCGAGCATGCAAATGGAAACCACAAATACCTTTGTTTTTTCTGATTTGGACAAATTTGTATGGAAAGCTGAAGTGTTGAGTCTGTCTGATATTGCATATCTGCAGACTGTAAGTTGCTCTTTAATACATGACTGTCTTAGATTGAGGAATTACACAGACTGGGTTCTAATCCATTTTTTGAGACATCATCCCATCTTTCTGTTTCAGGAAACTACATGTGTGACTGTTGCGACTCTGGAGAAGTTTGAATGTGGGCAGTCAGGATGGTATTATGATGGATGTAGTGAATGTACCAAAAGTGTGACTTTGAAGGATGGAAAATTCATGTGTTATTCCAAACACATCAGTTCTGAGCCAGTCCCAAGGTAACTTCTAAGTATTGCATATCAATGATTATCATCATATAACCAAACGCTTCATTACTGACAATTTCTTATTTTGATCACGCATGGTACAGATTTAAGCTTGCAGTGCTTGCCTCCAATGGAAAGTTAAAATACAAGTTCGTATTTTGGGATGTAGATTGTGTAAAGTTGATTGGGAAGTCCGCCCTTCAGATGAAGTTGGATTTGATGGAGGTATTTTCCATTTGGCTAATATGTAAGTTAGATAATTACCACATAAATAACATATATTGTTTTAATCATTTAGACTGGAGATTTTGATCCCCTTGAATTCCCTTATGAACTTGATGTGATGCTGAAGAAGGAGTTGGCTATAAGAGCAGTGTTTCAACCAAACAAGGCCAGTCTTTCTGTAATCGGATTTAAGGCAGATGAAGTGCTACGTACCAAAATAAAGGAGAGGTTTAAATGTGAAGAGGTACTGCTGTACTCATGTTTTACTGTTGTTAAAATCAGTATCATGTGCATTGGATTTTTTTAACAATTGTTTAAAACTTGCAGCACACTTCAAAGATTGTCGTCTCAACAGATGACACTCGGGATGATATGCATACAACATCAGTATGTTTTAAATAGGAACGACCTATTACTCTTGCCATCACATTTTGAACAATTGTCTAACGTTTATTTCTTGCGTTTTTTAACTTGCAGTGTACTCCGACCATCAGCACCTCGGAAAAACAGTCTCATGATGATCCACAAACAGTTTCAGTGCGTCTTTTTTTAGCTTTCAACATTAACAAATTAGCCTATTAAACAATGTCTTACTTCCTTTTTTATGCTACTGATTTTGTAATGACTCTTTAATGGCAGGATCCGTTATCAATCACTGCAGATTATGACCCTTCAGTTGCCAACTCTGCACTTACACCGTCAAAAAGATCTATTCCTGAGACAGTTGAAGAACTCGACAGTGCCCAACTATCGTCCACCAAGATAATAAGGGACATCAAGCTGGAGAAATGATGCAGTCAATTATCGTCGACGAATTATTTTTACTTTAAGCTGTTTTGGACAACATTACACACCATATTTTGATTGATGTAATGAAATATTTCTGGTTTACATTTTGTTTATTCTGGTTTATGAGGATTTGATTTGTCATTCTTGCTTTTTGTTTGATCCTTTTGACATTGTATATGAAAGAATGATATGATTTTAGTCATTTAAGCTGCAAAAAACTATGTATAATTTACACTGCAAAAAGCAATATGATGTTGGTAATTCCTTATTTTGTTTAATATAATAAACTTATTCTGTTTAATATAACAAGTTTCTCTTGCATGGCAGGAGGTTGTACAACATCAGCAGCATCAATAGTGTTGTTCTCCTCGCTGCATTAACAAACACGATTATTTAAACTACTAATTTGCAAAGTCAAATATTCAAATGTATATATGTAACCTAAAAGCCCTTGCCTGTCCAACACATCGCCCGCTGATTCCATTGCTTCATCAGTGGAATTCTGTTCAAGCTCATCGTCTGATATGTCAACAAGCCATCCCTCCTCTCTGGCTATTTCAAAGTACTTTTCCACTGATAGACAGCTTCTCACCTTTCCCGTTCTCAGTTCGTACGATTCCTCTCTTTCGACATACTCATAGTATTTGTCCATAAGTTCAGCACGTGTAAAATTTATGCAACTCCTGTTGCTTAATCAAAAAAACAACAAACATCATGCATTCAGTTTTTTGTTTTTTTCACTATCAATATGAAAATACACTCATTCCAGAATACTATTTTACCTTGAAGAACTTTCAGCTTCCTCTTTCCTCCTCTTAGCCTCTACATGCAACTTTCTCCATTCTTCTGCTCTGTCCCGCTTATCCTCTGATTGCTTCCAAACCTTTTGGATAGCTAGATTTTTCCATTTAGGATTAGGAGTCGTGGTTGTGTGACTTCTACCAACGAATCCCCTGCATATAAATTCATTCATGCCCATCATGCACACAGACATCTTTGTATAAACCCTAAATGATCTCATTGCAAGTTTAGAAACATGTGTGTCAAAACGGAAGAACTTACCTGCGGGAACACCAACGTAGATACTCTTTCTTCATTGTATTGGTTGGCCGGCGCTGTCTGGAGCAAAACGCTGTTTCAAAGGTGTACCGTCTTCTTGGAATGTTGTTTCTGATGGAAAATCGAAGAGACGGGGAGATGGAGTAAAACTGACGTTAGACAATAACTTTTGTTGGCCCAACAAGCAAGCATTAGTTACATAAGACACTATACATGACATGTAGAATACAAACAGTTTCTGATCATTCCATTTTATATCCCTTGTAAAATGTATATTTTTGGAAGTACTTTTAATTTTACACATTTACATCAAACCATGGTTACATGTTACAAACAAAAATAAAATGATGATAGTATAGAATACAATAGGAATAACCTTTGGTTTCCAATGGCAATTTTGTGTTTCCAACATAACAGTATTTAATGTCATATTATAATATTTGGTGTTCTAATAATTGTTTAAAGTTTGGCCAACATATGGTATTGATGTGACATTAACTTTTTTAACCTCTACCCATAATTGTTAAGCTTTGGTAGCATATACTGTAATGATGAAACACAATTAATGTTATATAGAAACTTCACTGATGCAATGCACTGTACCCTATCTCATATCCAATGTACAAATAGAGTATCTGAGTACACTTAAAAATTAGAATACAAATGTTATGAACTGCAAAACCAAACAATTCCATATAGGTTTGTTACTCTTACATTCATTATGTTATACTTATGAAGAGTTGTAAGTTATCAACCATATTCTCTTTCAACTATGAACAACCATTTTGTAGATAGGAAATACTCTGCATCACTTGCAAGACAAAAGAGGAAGCATGTTCTTGATGAAAGAAGATTTAAGAAGAATAGAGTTAATGAAAATTCAACTGAGCACAACCATGACCTAAATAATTCAAGTTATGTAAGCAGACATCATACAAGACAGCCACTGTCTGATATCGGTTCTGTTTTTGTCAATGGCCATGGAGATGTTTCTGCACGAACAGAGTGCGTAATGCTTAATTCCCAACAAAGGAGAATGAGTGTTGGTTTTAACCAGTGCACAACCCCAACACCTGCATCTTCCCCCAACTTCTCATGCATTTCTACTGATACAATTTCTCCCAAACAAATTTCTGCTTCAGCACGTTAAAGAAGGAGGTCAATAATGAAGCGTAAGAGTCCCCAAAACAACAGCCATCGTGGTCATCTGCAGATCAAACTCGCTGATAGAATGCCCTTTTGTTCCCCTTTACCGTTTGATGCTAACACACCTCTGAGTGGCGTTACCTCCTCATCAAGTATTAAATGCAAAAATGATTCATATGGACTACCGACTTCCTATGCATCTTCATCCAACAAACATCTTGATCCAAATCTAATTCGTTCAACGACTGCGAATCTATTAAAAACCTTTTCAAGTGTTACAGAAACGACGTCAACTTCCCTTAATACCAATCTGTTCAGAAGTGCTGACTCAGTGAACCCAGTTCAACAATCAGTTGCAGACTATTCATCCGATGAATCTTTAACCGATAGTTCATGTGAATTCATAAATGAAGATCCGGATTATGATACAAGTTCAAGTCTGGACAACGACGAAGATCATTCTGCAAATGTACCAACAATTGATTGCATAAATGCTGGTATGTATTGCTGGAATTATTATTAATAGCAAACCATAACTTAAATTCACTGTCATGCAGTTTGGTGTCTATGAATATACTGATGTGTATAAGATATATGATGTTTCGTTCTATCTGATAAATATAGGATATTCAGATATTGGTGATCCTTCCATTGAATGCACTCAGTGTGGAGCACAAATGTGGTATCAAGAGAAGGTTGTCAAGAGAAAACATAGTGCAGTGCCTAAGTTCCAATTATGTTGTGGAAAGGGTAAAGTTGTGTTGCCACTTCTGAGAACACCACCACCGTTTCTTAAACATCTTCTGTCGAATGAAAACGATGTACTATGTAGAAATTATCAGCAGAATTGCAGACTGTACAACATAATGTTTGCATTTACGTCTCCTGGAATGAAAATTGACAATAGATTCAATAATGGAAATGGACCACCTAACATGAGAATTCAAGGGCAGGCTTGCCATAGAATTGGTAGCATGATGCCTGTGCATGGCGAAAAACTGAAATTCGCTCAGCTTTATATATACGACACTAACAATGAGATTCATCATAGGATGCAAGGAATATGGTTATGTTTCTTAAGCCAACTGAGATGCCTACTTTTTATTACCTTTGTTATTATCGTGCATGACATGTGTCTAATTTTTTAATGCAGCAACAACCAGAATATTATTGAAGAAACTGTTAGCCGAATACAGAACATGCTTGACGAATTCAACACACATGCTAAATCTTTTAGAATGGCATCAGCTAGACTAAAGGATTGTCCTATACCTGACCTCAAGTTGAAGTTAATATCTGATAGATTAAAGGACGGACAAATTTACAACCAACCCACCGTGTCTGAGGTTGCAGCCCTCATTGTTGGTGATGTTGATACAAGCTCAAAAAGGGATATTATCCTTGAAAGACAAAGCGGTAGACTAAAACGAATAAGTGAGTTTCATCCGAGCTATCTTGCATTACAATATCCACTTCTGTTTCCGTACGGGGAAGATGGATTTAGACTTGGTGTTCTACACAGAGAGACAGTTCCCAAAAAAAAAGGAAAGATGAACAAACTTACTATTAGAGAATGGCTGGCCTTTCGCATTCAAACCAAACAACGTGAAGCTCACACACTGCTCAGGTCAAGGAGATTGTTTCAGCAATTTTTGGTTGATGGATTCACTATGATGGAGTCACAGCGACTCAATTACATACGTAAGCATCAAAAAAAAATTACGAGTATCCAAATACTCCAATTTGTCAGGAGTACACCAACAATCTTCAAATGAAGGAGCCCACAAAGTCAAAAGAGTGGTGTTGCCGTCAACATACGTTGGAAGTCGCAGATACATGGAACAATTATACTTTGATGGAATGGCAATTTGTAGTCAAATTGGATTTCCCGATCTATTCATTACCTTTACTTGCAATCCATGTTGGCCAGAGATTCAGAGGTTACTTAACAACATGAATTTACAACCTCAAGATCGTCCTGATATAATCTCAAGGGTTTTTAAAATGAAGTTTGACGAATTACTGTATGATATAACAAAGAAGCATGTCTTGGGCAGAGTTGTTGCATGTGAGCCACATGAAATTAAATATGTAATACTTAATTCTTCCCTATTCTATACCAATGATTTTAAATTAATGTTTTACTGTATTTTAATTTCTTCCAGATATATACACCATTGAGTTCCAAAAGAGAGGTTTACCCCATGCACACATTTTACTTTTCATGCATCACCAGAACAAGTTTCCCACTCCGGATGACATCAACAACATTATTTCAGCAGAAATACCGGCAGAAACGGATGATAAACAATTAAATCATTTGGTAAAGACACATATGATTCATGGTCCATGTGGGTTGGCTAACAGATCTTCCCCTTGCATGAAAAATGGTAAATGCTCTAAATTCTTTCCCAAAAATTGGCAGCCTCAAACCATTGTCGATCAAGATGGCTATCCCGTCTATAGGAGAAGGGATACTGGCATTATTGTTCTGAAAAAAAGTATTGTTCTTGATAATAGGTATGTAGTTCCTTATAATGCATATCTTCTAAAGAAATATCAGGCGCACATTAATATGGAATGGTGTAACCAAGGTACTTCTGTCAAGTATTTATTCAAGTATATTAACAAAGGTTACGATAGAATAACTGCAACGGTTGTTCGGACCGAATCAGACGGAAGTTCATTTGGTACAGATGTTGATGAAATCAAACAGTACCTTGATTGCAGGTACGTTTCCCCGAGTGAGGCGTGTTAGAGGATTTTTTCATATCCTATCCATGGTAGATCTCCTTCTGTCGAAAGGTTGTATTTTCATCTGGAAGGCGAAAATCCGGTTTACTACACTGACTATGATTTCATAGACAATATTCTTGAAAAACCAACTGTAAAGGAATCAATGTTTACAACTTGGATGGAGTCAAACAAAAAATACGAAGATGCAAAGACTTTAACATACACTGTGTTTCTTTCCAAGTTCGTTTGCGATAAAAGGTACCGTTTATGGAGACCTCGAAAAAGAGGTCGTACGATTGGCCGGTTAATTTGGGTTCCTCCAAGCACTGGTGAGCTCTATTACCTTAGAATGATGTTGACGGTTGTCAAGGGACCGACTTGCTATGACGATATAAAAAAGGTTGGTGGAGTAGTCCGCGACAGTTTTAGAGATGCATGCTTTGAGATGGGATTTCTTAACGACGACAAAGAATATGTTGCAGCCATAGATGAGGCCAAAGATTGGGGTTCCGGTAATTTTTTGAGGAAGCTATTTGTCACGATGTTGTTGTCTGGTACTGTTAATCGACCGCGACATGTTTGGCAACAGACTTGGAAGTTGCTATCTGACGGTATTCTTCATCAACAGAGAATTGTCACTGGAATAAGAGGTACACTTAACAAATACCTAAATACTTCTGTTAAATTTCATACAATTACAAACCGTACGAAACTATTATAATGAGTTTTTCTTCTTATAATACCTTTTAAACTACTTTGGATGCAATAATTTCAATCCTTTTATACTTCCATATATCTGTTACATATCATACAGTTCAAACCATACTTAAGTATTTTGACAGATTCTCATTGTCGTAATGTAATTTCAACTCATGTAGATAGGGTCTTAACTTAAGAATTTCAATTGTTACCAAACTGGTTCTGCCATAAAATTTTTCGACAGTTCTGCCCATACACAGACTTTCCTGTTCTTATGCCATAATGCTTCACATCATTTCCATTCAACAGCACCTTTCAATGCTGCCCTTTCAAAGAATCATAAGTTCCAGTAAGCAAGTCCTTTCAATGCTGCTATTTCATCAGTAATAAAAATATCTAATGCAATCTGATATTACTCACCACCAACACAGAACAAAATAATTCTGTGATTTATCTTTTACCTTCAACCACCTTTTTTCACAGCTACTGATCAAAAACATAACATTTTTAATGAACCCGAATGTCTGATGCTCTTGCATTATACTGATTTCTATTGTACATAATAGTTATATTTTATTTTGGTTTGTATTTGTGTTGGAAGACATGCAATTGTCAACTGCAGAACTGACAAACCTCACATTAATTGAGATTGAGAATATGATGCAATCAAATAGAAGAAGCTTGCGTGAATTCAAAGATATGCCGTTTCCAGATTTGTATATAACGCGACATGTCGGCAATAGACTGATTTTTGATGAACGTGATTACGATGCTGATTTAGAGCGACAAAACTTCCAGAATCTATTTACATCTCTAACAAGTATTTCCTCATTATTCAAATCATCGATGTTTTCATTAAACTACTGTTGTATTGATTCTTTTCATTTGAACGTCAAGATGAGCAACGTGCAATCTTTGAAACCATAATGGACGCCGTCAAGAAACAAAACAAAGGGGTGTTTTTTTTACATGGATACGGCGGAACCGGTAAAACGTTTATGTGGAGGACATTATCAAGTGCACTTCGTTCAGATAAAAAAATTGTTCTGGCTGTTGCTTCAAGTGGCATAGCTTCCTTATTATTGCCAGGTGGTAGAACAACCCATTCGAAGTTCAAAATTCCCATTCCAACGCTTGACAACTCTACTTGCAATATTGACAAAGACTCTGAGCATTCACAGTTATTCGAAGCTATTGATGTCATAATATGGGACGAAGCACCCATGGCTCATAAGAATTGTTTTGAGGCCTTGGATAAGACCCTTAAGGATGTCATGAGCGATAAGGGTTTTGCAAATACAATTTTTGGTGGCAAGGTAGTTATATTTGGAGGAGATTTTCGAAAGATACTTCCAGTTGTTCCAAGAGCAGGCCGTTCTGATATTGTTCATGCTTCCATTTGTTCTTCTTATGTGTGGGACTATTGCCAAGTCTTAACACTAACCAAAAACATGAGACTAAAGAATGGGAGGGACGGTACAACTTCTGATGAACTTGCAGAATTCTCTAAATTGATATTAAATGTTGGCGACGGTAAAATATGTGAACCTAAAGATGGATTAGCTGATATAGAAATTCCTCCGGATTTGTTAATTTCCAATTTTGAGGATCCAATAAGAGCTATAGTTGAAAGCACATACCCAAATTTGCTTGCCGACTTTCAAAATGTAGAATTTCTACAAGGAAAATCAATACTTGCTTCAACCATTGAAGTTGTTGATAAAATTAATCATTACGTGTTAGACATGATACCGGGTAAACTATTTTTTCTTTTGATGTTTATTTTCGTGTAGATGTTTCGTTATTAAATTATTCTTGAAAAAACATTATGGATTGATTCACGTTTTCCCATTTCTTAGGTGAGGACAAAGAGTATTTGAGTTTTGATTCGATTGATAGAACTGATTCAAGTTACACCGAAGCCTATGAATGTCTTACTCCAGAATTTCTTAGCAAGCTTAGGACTTCAGGTGTCCCAAATCACAAACTCAGATTAAAGGTTGGTACACCAATAATGCTTATGAGGAATTTGGACCAAAACGATGGTTTGTGTAACGGAACTAGACTAATTGTTACAAGGTTGGCAAATCACGTTATTGAGGCAAATATCATGTCTGGTAAGAATGTTGGTAACATCTTTTACATCCCTCGAATGTCTATGTCACCTTCCGAGTCACCGTGGCCATTTAAGTTGATTAGGAGACAGTTCCCAATTATTGTGTCGTACGCAATGACAATTAATAAGTCTCAAGGCCAATCACTTGATACAGTTGGATTGTATTTGCCTACTCCTGTATTCAGTCATGGCCAGTTGTATGTAGCCATTTCAAGAGTTACAAGCAAAAGTGGTCTAAAGATCTTAATACATGATAGTATGTATGTATCAACATCTATCACTACAAATGTTGTATACAAAGAAGTTTTCCAATCTCTTTGTTGATCGGTAAGTACATAATAACAAATATTTTCTTTAATATAAATTGTTTCCGTAAATGCTGTCTAATTTTTGCATAATTTATTGTGCAGGTCAAAAAGTTGAAAACATCGTTTCCAAGCTGGTTGCGTTGTATCTGAAGACTCGTGATAGTTTCTTATTTTGAAGAGTCATCACAGTTTCTTATTTTGTTACACAATCATGATTTCAATTTACATTTTTTAATGTTGTCAAATAAATTTGATACACTAAATTTGGCCGAATTAGATGAACTTTTATTGAATTACATAAAAACGAATTTACTGTTACATGACAACATTAGTTTCACGTTTTATGAATTCTCGACCGGCCCCGTGCGACAGCACGGGTTATCGACTAGTATCTATATAAATCAAAGAGATATTTAACAATACAATTTAATATTCTTAATATTTTTAAAAATGAATTAATAATATATAAAATGGTATGGATAAAGAAAGAAAAATAAAAAAAATAAAAAAATGTAGCGAATTGGCAATATAGTGAGATGATTAGGATGAGAGATGAATATGTGGCGAGGGTGAGGAGGGAAAAGTCAAAACTAAAACAAGATATGGTTATCTGTTCATTCTGAATAATCAATCGCCATGGAGGGGTTGGCGGTTCAACTCCCACGCTTCCTCCCGTTGCCGCTTCCAAAACATGCCGTACCGTTTCCTACTTCCAGTTCCACCTCCACCGGTAATTACTTACTCCCTCCTCTTCCATTTATTAATTACTAGTACTACTCACTCACTCAACATTAATAATCAGGATTTATTTCTCTCAAAAAACTACACCTATCTCCACGTCGTCGTTTCCCATTTTGTACACCATCATCGCATTCCCAGCCTCAAGCCGAACAACTCACCGTGCCTGCAGCTGCTGTCAGTGGAGATTCCATACGCCAAAGATTTCTGGATTTTTATGCTTCCCGTGGTCACAAGGTCCTTCCTAGTGCTTCTCTAGTCCCAGATGACCCCACTGTTCTCCTCACTATCGCTGGAATGCTTCAATTCAAACCCATCTTTCTCGGAAAGCTTCCTAGACAAGTCCCTCGTGCTACTACCGCACAAAGGTGCATTCGTACTAATGATATCAACAACGTTGGCCAAACCTCACGACATCATACCTTCTTTGAGATGCTCGGTAACTTCAGCTTTGGTGATTACTTTAAAACACAAGCTATTCAATGGGCATGGGACCTATCTACCATTGAGTCAGTAACATCCCCCTTACTCCTATTTATTTACTTTCCTTTTCTTTCTATTTTATTTTCATCTCTTCCATTTACTTTTAGGTTTGCTCTGCCTCCAGAGAGATTATGGATTAGTGTTTATCAACATGATGATGAAACTTTCCAGTTTTGGTCTCAACAGGTTTGCTAAAGTTCCCCATCCTCTTTTTTCATTACATCACATTCCTTTTTATTCAATTCTATGCTCTTCATTTCTCTGCAGATTGGTGTCCCCGTTAAGCGAATAAAGAGGTTGGGTGAAGATGACAATTTTTGGACCAGTGGAGCCACAGGTCCCTGTGGTCCATGCTCTGAAATTTATTATGATTTCCATCCTGACAGGGGATATGACGATGTCGTAAGTATGATACTGTTACAATTTGAGTTATTCCAAATCACTTCAATGACAATGTTTTACATTTTGTGGCCTGGGTTGGGGATGGAGGCAGGATCTTAATGATGATACACGGTTTATAGAGTTCTACAATCTAGTATTCATGCAATACAACAAAAAAGACGATGGTTCTCTTGAACCACTAAAGCAAATGAACATAGATACTGGCCTCGGTCTCGAGCGCATGGCTCGCATTCTTCAAAAGGTATTGCATTCATTTCCATTGTTGTACAAGTCACCATATGTAATTTTACAAATGTTACTAGGAAACTTGGACTAGAACTCTGGTATTTCTTCACCACTTTTTCTTGCTCCCTCTACCTTACACCCCCACTTGTATGTTGAGAAAAAATGGGGCAAGGAAAAAAGGTGTGAATGAAACATTATTCACACTACTATCATTTTCTTTTGCTCCTCAAGTACTTTTTATATTTATTAAGTGTTCCCTCCCTGCAGGTTCCAAACAACTATGAAACTGACTTGATTCTCCCCATTATAGAGAAGGCATCTGAATTAGCAAATGTTTCATATGGAATTTCTGATGATCAGACCAAGAGGTATCTAAAAGTAAGTCAACTATCTTCATACAAGTTGCAATTGAATTTTAAATACTTTTATTTCAATCCGTCTTTCTGATTACTTTTAGTGTATGTTATTTTATTCCTATAGATTGTAGGAGACCACATGCGTGCAATTGTGTTTCTCATCTCTGACGGTGTTGTCCCATCAAATGTTGGGAGAGGTTATGTTGTTCGACGACTTATCAGAAGGGTTGTTCGCACAAGCAGGTTGCTTGGTATAAAAGGTGACGGTAGAGGAGACCTTGAAGGAGCGTTTTTACCTATTATTGCCGAGAAAGTAGTAGAATTAAGTACGCACATTGATGCTGATGTGAAGAACAGAGCACCCCGTATCCTTGAGGAGTTGAAGAGAGAAGAGCTTCGATTTGTTCAGACGCTTGAGAGAGGAGAAAAGTTGCTTGAGGAGAAACTTGCTGATGCTATATCAAGTGCTGAAAGAAATGGAACTGTACCTTGCTTGGCTGGTGAAGATGTGTTTATTTTGTATGATACTTATGGTTTCCCAATGGAAATAACAAAAGAAGTGGCTGAAGAACGTGGTGTGAGTATTGACATGAATGGTTTTGATATTGAGATGGAGAAGCAAAGGCGGCAGTCTCAAGCCGCACACAATACTGTCAACCTTGCCATTGGAAGTGGGACAAGTATTGCAGACAATGTACCTGACACTGAATTTATTGGATATGATAGTCTTTATTGTAAAGCAATCATAGCAAGCCTAGTGGTAAATGGTGATATAGCTGTACGTGTTAGTGAAGGGAGTAATGTAGAAATTTTGCTGAACAAGACTCCATTTTATGCTGAATCAGGAGGACAAATTGGAGATCATGGTTTTCTATATATTTCAGAGGGTGAGAATCAACCTAAAGCTGTTGTGGAGATAATTGATGTTCAGAAGTCTTTTGGTAATATATTTGTTCACAAGGGCACAGTCCATAAGGGTGTTGTAGAGGTTGGCAAAGAAGTGGAGGCAACAGTAAATGTTAAGTTGAGGCAACGAGCTCAGGTACAAAAACTGTGGACCTCATCAATTTTGTTTGGTGAATCTTCCGTCGTAATAAAATTTGATAAAGACAAATCCTTGCATCATTGTAGTCATGCATATTTTTAAATTCCAAGCTTACTAGTTGTTCAATATTGCAGTGAATGTAATGTAACTGGTGCTTTGCAGGTTCATCATACTGCTACTCATTTACTACAAGCTGCACTTAAAAAAGTCATTGGTCAGGAGACCTCTCAAGCTGGTTCTTTGGTGGCTTTTGATCGTCTCAGGTTTGATTTCAACTTCCACCGTCCACTTCTTGACAGCGAGCTTGTAGAAATTGAAGTGCTAATCAACGGATGGGTTGAGGATGCGATTCTCCTTCAGACCAAAGTGATGCCCATTGCTGAAGCAAAAAGAGAAGGAGCAATTGCAATGTTTGGAGAAAAGTATGGTGAAGAGGTTGGATTTACTACAAAATCTTTTGATATTTAACTTTGGAGTTCTTTAGCTTTCTTCTGTTTTTTTGGTAGTTCTAAGTATTTAGGTTACACGTACACAAAGTGTGTACTTCAAAAGAGGTCAGAACTTTGACCTTCAGCTTCAGGGATGATTTGCAAGTAGTTTTCAGGAATCATCATGTCTTCGGATCCAAATTCTATCGTCAGTACTACCATTGGTAGATTTCAGTTACATTTCAGATGCACCAATAGCTATCCCTCTCCCTGTCACGTGCACCAGCACCTATTCATGGACCGCAGTAGTGAAAAATATATGGTATAGTAATATATTATATTCTGAAAACATTTTAAGAGCATCCAGCTTTGTAGAACACTGAAACTGTACAAATAGCATATCAAATGCTATAAACTAGTGAGATGCGTTTCTTTACCACACAACTCTTGTTTATTAAATCCACTATAATCTAGTCAAATCCGCTATTAGTGGATCAAAGTTACCAATTAGAGTCTATATGTTCCATATCTTAGACATGTATTTTAAATTATATTAAAACTTCTCAATAATCAGAGAAAATACTATGAATATAGAAAATACAGTATATATCAATATTAGTGTTTATCCGTCTGATATGATGTTTATGCTGTTACTTGTCAAAATTGGTGTCCTGCAGGTACGTGTTGTGGATGTTCCTGGAGTATCGATGGAACTTTGTGGTGGAACTCATGTCAGTAATACCTCTGAAATTCGTGGGTTTAAAATAATTTCAGAGCAGGGTATTGCATCTGGTGTCAGGCGCATAGAAGCTGTAGCCGGGGAAGCTTTTATTGAATATGTCAATGCCCGGGATTCTTATCTGAAACAGTTATGTTCAACTCTCAAAGTATGTTCACGATCTTAGTTTTTCACTTTTCCTCTAAGTGTTAAAAATTACAATTTTTCATAAGGAGAACCAATTAATGTTCATTTTCATCTACATGTTCACGATCTTAGTTCTAAATGTTTGTTATTCTGTTAATATCAATGAGTCAAGCAACTAAATTTGTGCACATAAGCATCCATTTGTAAATATTTTCCCCCATTTGTAAATACATTTTCATCTGCATGTATTTCTTTATTTCTATGATAATCTTTAACATGAGACTTCAATAAAATAAACATTCAATTGCTATTGTTGACTTTGTCCTTTTCTGCATTTGGTACCGTTTCTTTCCTCAAATCACTTATAATCAACTTTTGAAGGTGAAACCTGAAGAAGTAACTGCAAGGATAGAAAACCTTTTAGAGGAGTTACGGGCAGCAAGAAATGAAAACTCGGCTGTGCGTGCAAAAGCAGCAGTCTACAAAGCTTCAGTTATTGCAAGCAGAGCGTTTCTGGTGGGGAATTCAAAGCAGTACAGGTAATATTTATCCAACTTGTAGTATTTGTTGCTAGGGCCTTCTCCCCCATTAGCAACACATTAAATAACTGAGTGCCTCTAAGATACAAACTACTGTATATAACTTGGGAAGAAGGGGAAAGTTGTTAATTTTATATAAAATGCCTTGCGGTACTCTTTTTCTATATTAAAAAAGAATTCATGTAATTAGGAGAAAAAATAGAAGGTAATTAATTTAACTCCCATACAAAAGATTAGTTATGAATAAATTTAATAGACACCTCAAGCTTGGATAAATTGAGTTGATATATATTCATAATCAAGCATATAAATCTTCTATCTGAACTCACTTTGCTAATTTAATTTTCTGTTGATTAGAATTATTCAACAGGTTGACATTGATAATAGTTAAAACTATAAAACCCGACTTAATTTAATCCTAATTATATTAAGCACTTGAAGGTAGCCCAAGAACTGCTAAGACAGAAGTTGTTTGAGTGGGGACAGATTGGATGGGGCCTGGGGGAAGACATGGGCCCTCCCTCCTCTTTTCTCATCTGCAAACACCACCTCCTGGGTGAAAGGCAATATTCTTTTTCTGGCAGTGAAATTTCTGCTTCATACATAAAAGTCTAACTTTTCACTCATAGCTTATGCGCTTTTGCATTAGGAAACTTCACCAACTACAAGATCTTTATCAACTCTTTGGAGGAGCACAAGCTTTCCATCTTCACCAACTCAGTAAAGCTCCAAAATCCATCCGTTTCAATGGGTGCCCCCTACATATTATTATATACTCCATATAATCGTAGTTATTAAATATTTTTTGACCCCCCGATATGGTAGAGCTTTGGATCTGTCCCCATGTCCGAGTTGCAAACAACTATGATGATTGTGCATATAACCTTATTAGTTTAGGGTTGAGTGATAGGCCATGACATAGAAGTAGAATGCCATGGGACAAGGCAAGGGTAGGTTCCCCCCACGCCTGCTGTCAAATGAGGTGTTGCATCACATCATTGATATTTCCTTGAATATATTTTCTTTGAATTCTGCAGACATAACTAAAACATGGATGTCTTTCAAATGTAAATTTCCACAAAAGGGTAACTTGGTGCTAAAACACCTGTCGTCGGGGGGTTCAGGATAGAGTAAGACCCATTGTGAGTGAAAAAGGGCAACCTAATCCTAGTTTGTAAAGCTCTCATGGCGGGATCCGGTGAAAGCTTGCACACGTTGTGTATGTTGTAGGCAACCTTTCCTAGCAGCTAGTTCATTAACTCTAGCCATTGTACAAAAAGCTTTGGTTCATTGTGGGTCTATTGTAAACTATATATATATCCATTGGTAGGACTTGGAAATAGGAAAGAAAAATTATGGTTGAAATTTAATGATTGTATGATCTTTAAGTTGACGTATCATTTTTATTTATTGATTGTTGGAAATATTTCCAGGATACTAGTTGAGTGCTTGGATGAAGTTGATGCGGAATCACTTAAAAGTGCGGCTGAATATTTAATGGAAACATTAGCAGATCCAGCTGCTATTGTCCTGGGGTCATGTCCAGGTGAAGGGAAGGTTAGTCTAGTGGCTGCTTTTACTCCAGGGGTGGTTGACCAGGGGATTCAAGCAGGTAAATTTATCGGACAAATAGCAAAATTGTGCGGTGGCGGAGGAGGTGGAAGGCCCAATTTTGCTCAGGCTGGTGGGAGGAAGCCTGAAAATTTGGCTGCTGCCCTGGAGAAGGCTAAATCAGAGCTTATAGCTAATCTTAGTGAAAAAGGGAAGTGAGTCGCAAATATTTTTATATCAAGTCAACAGATAAGCATTGATTCTTTGTTATGGAGACTAAAAGGTACAGCAGAGGGATGGAAACTTAAGTGAAGAATTTTCAGTTATTCCAGACGGGGGCCTTGTAATGGAAGTTTTCAAATAATGAATAGCACCTTGTAAAAATGTGACTGTATGTAGTATCCTGAAACAAGCGGGTGCCTGCAGTGGCCCATATGATCCCAACTTGTAATTTCTGACTTTGATGCAAGCTTTGTAATTACCCCATGCATGAAAGCCATGTATAAGCTGGAGTACTCTTTGATAGGCACGGCAACCTGCCCCGACTTCGAAGGGGAAATCTCATTATGACCAGGTGTGGGGTGGGTTTTCTTCAAAATTTTAAGCCGGGGGCAGATTAAGGGTGTTGATATCTGTTCTGCACTACAGGTTTTATATTATTCTGTTTATTTTGTATACATGTTTTCATTCTTTTTTTGTATAATAATTTTTTAAATATTATAAACTTTAATCAATTAATAAATATAAATATAAATTATTATTAATTTATTTGTTAGATTATCATCTACCTCAACTTCTATATATACGAGACAACTAAGTTCAATGATTAAACGATCTATATGGCTTATATATAAATCATATATATATATATTGATTTGATTATTCAATGAATCTATACACACTAGATGCATTAATTATTCAAAGAACTTAAAACATCAAATATATTGATTTATTAAGGGTATATACATGTTCGGTTGA